GTGACCCGTTGTTCAGCATCGGCTGTGCCTCGAGAGTCTGCGCTTCTCCTCGCTGTCACACCGACAATCGCTGGAGCATCCTCTCGTGTGCTTCCTGCGTCCGCTTTGCGCTAGCGCAGCGACGCATGGACCCTGAAGGTCCGCAGCGTGATGTACATAAACGGTCTGAGGTGGCAGCGCGCTGTGGAGGAAACTGTAGATGCTAATGCTCCGCAGTGGCAGAGACCACGCGGGTCCTTTGAGCGCAGTGCGTCCTTCCAATACACCGTGTGAGGGTGGTTTCGTGGGTCACGCCGGTCCCGTGCGCCCCGAGCCCCGGTCGCTCTGGACGTAGATTTGGCGCATCTAGCCGTGATGTAGGCATATCTGGCGCGTCCAGCCGGGACGCTTCACGTCAAAACAGCGAGCACGAGTGTTGGAACAGGTGGCGTGACCCTTTCGACAGCATCAATACAAGCGCGCTGGGCAAACAGAAAAACGTGCTTGACGAAAGAAACGATGCTTCACCCCACCTCACTGGCAAAAGTCGTCACCGGCACCGTTTATCGCGGCGGTGCGACCCTGTGCCTACGGCATGTTGTCACAGTGGGCTTCTGGAGCTCTTCTAGATATCCCGAGTGTCATTGTCTGGATATGGTTGCACCATCACCAGACGCTAGGCTCTTGGATGACGGTAAACTGGGATATCAGTGCAGCCCCGTCTCAGACAAGCCGGACCTGGATATGGCGGATGGCATAGGGACGGACGGTCGTTGCCAACGCTCGTATTCGGTATGTCGCGCGAGATGCATGTCACAAGCATGCAACGGCTCCATGCCTTTTTACGATGATGAAGATTGAGGCTTTAGTGCACACGGATACCGCTAGGGTCAATTTGAGCTCGAACCGACCAGATTTTTTCGTGATAACTAGGGGCCGAAGCGATTCCCAAATCCTTAAACGTTTGTTGTTGCTGGGGCCGATTTTCTTTCCCGTTTGTGCTGCCGTCTGAAGCGGGACAGCGTATTGCTTTTTTAGGTCGGTTCTCACTGATCCTACTAGACCCATGCAGTTTACCTTCTGGTCTAGTTTCAAAAAGTGCAATGCGGGATTGGTTCTGCCGTGTCGACACCGTTCGTGCCGTTCAGCGGGGCGGAGGGATCAAATGGAGAGAGGCGACGCAGTCTGGAAGGGCGCCACCGTTCGCCACCGTTTGTAGCCAGTCACTGCGCCACGCCGGGTGTCACTGACAGGCTCGTCACTGTGTCACGCCGGGCGTCACTGACAGGCTCGTCACTGCGTCGCGCCGGGTGTCACTGACGGCTTTGTAACTGCGTCACGCCAGGCGTCACTGACGGCTTCGTCACTGCGTCACGCCGGTCGTTACTGACAGACTCGTCACTGCGTCACGCCGGGCGTCACTGACAGGCTCGTAACTGCGTCACGCCGGTCGTCACTGACAGACTCGTCACTGCGTCACGCCGGGCGTCAGTGACAGGCTCGTCACTGCGCCGCACTTGTCACCGCCGACCTGATGCCGAGCCGGCGCGGGCTGCCAGCCCAGATTGGCCACCCAGGTTGAATACTGTTTGGTTCTGGACGATTTCGACTTGTGTTGGCGTGCTAGCTCCGTCTGGAGAACGTCATTTCGTCCCGATGTCGGGGCGGCGTCACGGGAGCAGACTTTTCGCGGTTATACATCAGGGAATTAATGTAAATGAATGGAAATGTAATAATGATACCATTCAGTAATGTCATATTATCACTGGCGTAATCATATAGAGCTGAGAATTGAATTAGGAATCCTATTGCGAATGTGTCATCACGGATCTGACACCAGATCATTAGCGTGCACAAATGATCAACTTAGGTAGTATGGTGCGCTGCTTATGACCTGATGACCTTATGACCTGATGGTTAATGCGTTTATTATGTCGCAAATTGTATACACATGTCTCACCTGCGTCTGACTCATGCTTGTCTTTGCTGCTGAGTAGCTTTTGCTGGTCTTGTACGAAGGGTTTTTTTGTGGAAGCACGTGCGTCTCAAATTCCACACTGCTCTCACTGCCCGTGGGATCCAGCTGGTCCCTTCGACCGCATGCGTCCGTCGTGGGCTTCAACAGCTGTAGAGCCTTACGCACGCTGGTCTGTTTTGCCACATTTGAAATGTCACATCGTTGCAGCATCCCTCTCTGAGAAAGGACTCCTTTTTGAGGCTGTTGTCAATCAAGCTGGAACAATTAGGCATACGTATAAAATGGCCATCCGGGAGATGGCGAGACATCTCACCAGTGTTGTGAGGCTGGACCACCCGGTGCAACCGCCGAGCACACTCATCTCGCGTGGCGAGCGACGCCGGATCGCGGTCGCGACCGCTTCAGCGCATCTCGCGCACCTCCGTGTCAGCACGCCGTGTGCGGGCATCGACCGCTCCCTGCGTGCGCTTCTGTTTCTTCTAACTCGCCGTCGCGACCGCTTCAGTGCATCTCGCGCACCTCCGTGTCAGCACGCAGTGTGCGGGCATCGACCGCTCCCTGCGTGCGCTTCTGTTTCTGGGGTAACGTAGGCCCTCGCTGGACCGTCAGCTGCCCCATCTTACTGCCTCGGCGCGACCGTCGCGAAGGAGCGCCGTTGCGTCACGCGTTACTGGCTGTGGCGCGTCCAGCTGGCGTGCAATCGCCGTGTGTGCCGGGCGGTCGCGTCCTCGGATGCTCGCTCGTCGCGCTGCCCAGCCGCTTAGCAGCCGCACGACAGCCTCCAGGTCGGCACGTGCGGTGCCAAGGGCGTAAGAAGAGCGCGTCTTCGTCGTAGGTGGCGTTATGTAAGCCATCAGATGCTGGGTGCAGACACGCGCCGGTATTGAGCCGTCCCGTCATCGAGCACGGCCTCCGGTGCCGCGGCAGATCTCCGCGACGGTCGCCGGTGTACCTCGCACCTCCTCTGCGTGGTGGCTGGTTCACTGATGGTGCGTGAGAGCCGCATGGGTTGAAGTCAATGAGCGACTATCGAATTGTATTGAGTTTAATATAATATGGCCAAGACATATAAGACTCGGGTACGTGGTGAATCGGTGTCAAAAATGTTAGGTCTTCCATCTCATCCGGGCTTTTTCTTATCCAAACGCCATTGCGCCAGCTGCCACTTCGCATTGATGACTGCTGAAGCTCTTGTTATGTTGTACCAGATTGGCTTAAGCTCATATGGCCCGGTCAAGATGTTCGTTTTCTAGTTAGGTTGGTCATTGGCTCATCCATTCACGGCAGACTACGTCACTGCTGGCCAAATTACTTGCGTGTTCAGCCATTTTCCGTCTGGTATATATTAGTGGTCCACGCAAGAGCATTATAGTTCCATGCAGTAAGATATAATGTTTTCGTTTATAAATCGATATAAGTAAGTCAATGATAAATGGTTGTATGAAATAATGGATAAAATTAAATAAAAGGAATGGAACTAAAATCATTTGAAATATAATAAATTGAAATAAAATAAATGGAATATTAAATTAATTCATATTACTTATTTAAAACATATTTTCGTCGTCTAAAAATTGTTATGGATCAAACTAATCCGAAAGCATAGTTGCGTGTCTAAATGAAGTTGTAGCTACATATCTCGCACATCCATAGGCTGGGTTCGCAGTCCCCTGATGTAATAAACCACGGCCACAAGGCATTGCAGCCCATGTTGTATGTGTGTGTGCGTTATGCGCGGTGGCTGGGGCGAGTGAGCCCCACTGATCCCGGTGGTGTGGGTGCCACTGTCCGGGCCGGTCAGACCCCATCTAGCTCTCTCCGATTCCACCGCTGAATGCTGGCGCATACTTGCTTAGCTTTTGATCACGTGATCATTGGTTGAACAGCACGTCTACGTTTCTGATAGTTGTACGTGTGCGTGCGCGGAGCATTTGACTGCATGTTTCGTGTAACGATGGATGTTCTGCATTCATGCAATGGGCATTCTTTAGCAGCGAATCAAGCGTGTTGTAAAGCGCCTATACCACTGGAAGTCAAGCATGAAAACATGTACTGTAAGGTTTATCCCAGTTCCTCGTTCGTATACTTGGCTCAGCGATGCACAATAGGGTCCCAGCTCACAACAGTGCAGTTGCTGCGTAATCTGGCATATTAAGAAAAAGGCTTCATCATTATTCAGACCTGCGTATTTCCTTGAGTTGATTGTCGCTACAGGCCAGCGTCCCGTCGGGACACCCTCAGCACTACACGTGATCACGCGCTTTTAATACAAACACATACACCCGAAACAAAGTAGCAGTGTTGTCTAGATAACAGACCGTATAACGTGCCGGTTTGGGCTTTCACTGCTGACGGGTTTGACTCCGCCAAGTGAATCAAGTATGCCAAAACAATGGCTAAGTCTTTTATAAAGTTGCAAGGGTGCCAGGTTCATGAACATTCTTCTTTTTGGCTCACGTTTTTCATCGCTCCACGTAGGTTACTGGAGTGCCAAGCGATGTGCTGACCCCAGTGGCCTTCGCTTATGCCTCGAGATCCCCTAGCATTAATCATGACCGGTGATCGATGTATGGCGTAACAGCCGGCAATCACGTCCCACCAAGTTTTGAAACCTCTGGCGACGCCCGCGTGCACATGATGCCCTGAGGGGACGTCAGGGGTGCCTCCGAGCGGTGGTTCACGACTCAGGTGTGTGGCATCTCTCCATTCGTTGATTCGGCCATCGCATGGGTGCTGGAGGGCATCACTGCTGAGTGCTGATCGGGGTGACACGTGTAACACAACGCCATGTGGCACGGTCTTAGAAACTTCTCTGCCGGAACTGACAGAGCAGAGTGTGTTCTGCTCGTGCTCCTCAACATCCCTGGGGTCCGGCGATGACTTCGCCCCTACCGGCTCCCCTTCAGCCTCCGTTGCTGAGTTGCACATGCTGCTGCCTGATCTTGTATGTAGCTCCCCGGAGTGGATGTACCCATCGCTCCTCCCCCACTCTCCGCCCTCTCGCTTCCACCGCGCTCTGACAGCGCGGCGCCTTCTGTTGCAGTTGATTTTCAGCGGCGAGTACACCAAGGCGATGAACAAGGACTGGCACAGCGGCCACTTCAGCTGCTGGCAGTGCGACGAGTCGCTGACCGGCCAGCGGTACGTGCTGCGCGACGACCACCCGTACTGCATCAAGTGCTACGAAAACGTGTTCGCCAACACCTGCGACGAGTGCAATCGGCTCATCGGCATCGACTCCAAGGTGAGGGTGCGATGGAGTCGGCTCATCGGCATCGACTCCAAGGTGAGGGTGCGATGTACGCCGCGCCGACAGGCCGCAGCGGCGACGACGCCGGGTCGGGGAGAGGCATCTACTAAGCAATCAGTTCGCCATTGAGTCCCAAACGATAGTTGTTACAGATCGTCGGTTTGACTGATTGCCCTTTTAGTGCACACAGAGCACTCCTCCTTCAGCATTCTTCGATCCGATATAGATTTTGTCGGTCCACTAGACAGGTGTGTACATACCTGTTATACTCAGATGCACACAACTGGGGGACCGAGCTTCTCATTCAAATTTGGATGCCTACATCGTTACTCCGTCCGAGTGTTATCTCCTTTTGGATGGGAAAAAACATTCACGTGAGGTTGCCATATTCTCAGCTGTCATTGGCACCAGGTTTTTCTGAAATCAATCAAGAGTCTCAACATTGTACGCAAAGATTTCTAGTGGAGAATACGGACCCTTCTTTTGCGTTCCATCCAGCTGATGTGGCCGCCAGCTGACACCGTCGCCCCTGGAACAGCGCGTCCAGGCACGTGACACAGCACGCGTGGTCGGTGCGCGGCGCGGGCGGGGCTCTCACAGCCCGGTGGCGTCCCGCTGACGGCGCCGGGGCAGCGTCACTGGCCCCCATAAGCTCAGGGACGTCGGCCGCCGGCTGGTGCGCCCGCAGCCGGGTCCCCGTCGGCCTATCGGCAGAGCCGACGGCAGCCGTTTTTACCCGAGGCATTCCAGCGTTGGTTCCCTGAACACCGTCCAAAATCAAAGCCTATTTTCGACCGGCGCCGCGGGTGAAAGGGGAGCCGCCCGTTTGGACTACGGGCTGGCGCCGCTCCGTGGGGCACTGCCGGCGCGGTACTGCTGAGCCTGGCATTGTCGGCGCGGCACTGCTGAGCCTGACACTGCCGATATGGCACTGCTGAGCCTGACACTGCCGATATGGTACTGCTGAGCCTGACACTGCCGATATGGTTCTGCTGAGTTTGGCACTGCCGATATGGTACTGCTGAGCCTGACACTGCCGATATGGTACTGCTGAGCCTGACACTGCCGATATGGTACTGCTGAGCCTGACACTGCCGATATGGTACTGCTGAGCCTGGCACTGCCGATATGGTACTGCTGAGCCTGGCACTGCCCTGCCTGACACGGTGCCTTCCAGTACTGCCCCGCACGATGTCGTGCCTTCCAGTAGTTCTCTGCCCGATACCACACCTCTGAGTACTGCTGACCTGCCTGACGCAGTCCTTCCCAGTGCTATCCAGCCCAATACAATGTCTCTGAGTACCGGGCTGGCCGATACCGAGATTTCCAGTAATGCCCTGCCCGATACCGTGCCTTCCATTAATGCTCTGCCCGACACCGTGCCTTCCAGTACTGCCCTATCTGACACCGTGCCTTCCGGTACTGCCCCGCACGATGTCGTGCCTTCCAGTACTTCCTTGCCCGATACCGTGCCTCCGAGTACTGCTGACCTGCCTGACACAGTCCTTCCCACTACTGTCCTGCTCGATACGGTGCCTCTGACTACCGGCCTGGCCGGTACCGTCCTCCTGAGCACTGGCCTGGCCGATAACATCCTTCTGAGTACTGGCCTGCCTGATACCGTTCCCTGAGTACAGGTCTGCCGTTACCGTCCGCTGGGTGCCGGCCTACCACCACTGCCGTGCTTAGCACTGGCCTGCCCAGCACGCCAAGGGGAGGGGGGAGGCGACGTCTCGGGGGGGGGGGGGCGCTTTACCCGCGGAAGGGCCGGACACGAGGCTTTGTCATGGCGCCCCGGGTACCCGGGTACTGTGTGCTCTCGTATCACCGTGCCTTAGCTTTGGTATCGCCGTACCTCAGCTTTGGTACCGGGGTGCCTCAGCTCTGATATCACTGTGCCTCAGCTTTGGTATCGGAGTGCCTCAGCTTTGGTATCGGAATGCCGCAGCTTTGGTATCGGAGTGCCTCAGCTTTGGTATCGTCGTGTCTCAGCTTTGGTACCGGAATGCCCCAGCCTTGGTATCGGAGTGCCTCAGCTTTGGTATCGTAGTGCCTCAGCGTGTTAAATTTGCCGGCACCTTACCTGTTAAGAATCTTTACATGGATTGCATGTCTCGAAAGGAGCCTAGGATCCTAGCCATGGCTCTTTTACGTCATGGCACGAAGACCTGGTGCGCGCACGAGTTTGCACCAATCACTGACTGTGAGGGGCGTGACGGCGAAGCTGCCGCGCTTGGACGCGATCTCCCGCCGCGGACCCCCCATGAGGACGGCCGGCGCGGGCCGCCGTCAGGACCCCCGCCGGCGATCCGCAGGGGAACGGGCGGGCCGCCTCCTGCCGCCGACGCGGCTCTTTGGAGCGCCGCCGACCGAGGAGCCGGCGAGATAAGGTCAGCGGAACCGGGCCTCCCGGGGGCCCTCGGGGGATTGTGCCAACCGCGTCGGCTTTGTACGGGCCAAATTGCTTTCGTCTGTACGCCATTAGCGGCGCGTGTGCGGCAACGCCGCCGACCCGGGCCGCCGCCGTCCGACACCGGACGGCGCTGATTGGTTCGCCTGCTCAGACGGCTCGGAGAGGCGGCGATGTTCGCTTGCGCTGATAGCAGCGACGCCTTTGCGCCCGTACAGACCCAGACAGGGTCGAGGAGCCCGCGCTGATGCAGTCAGTACAGGTCTCAGTCAAAGCGGAAGTGTCAGCACTTCGAGCCGGAAGGACGGCGCTCGGCAGCCTGAGCTGTGTTTTGATAAGGCCCCGTAAGAGCCTGCGTGACATGGCAGTAGACTGCTAGAGTGCTATTCAAGGACATTTGAAATGTCGTGGTTTAATTGGCTACGTTTAAAGCACGCTGCGCATCAGCAGCTGGCAGCGGTCAGTACATTTGTGTGCGTTGTGTTGAACACGATGCACATCAGTAGCTAGTTAGCAACTGTCTTGGCATATGTCAAACTGATAGCATATTAAACTGGTAGCATATTCGTTCTTGAAGGGTGCACCCAGTCACCACGCAACATCTTGCGTGTAATAAACTTTTCACGTTTACAAGTCTGAGGAAACGTAGGTCATAACTGCAGGGTACTGTGCTGAAGGCTCCCGATATGGTTTGGCTTTACTGTGAGGCTGACCGCGACCCCAACAGCAGGGCGATGAAATTCGCGTTGCAACGTACCAGCAATCGGCGTTTTTTCTGGGCTTATGTCACTTCTGGGGCGCTAGGATAGATGGCTGGCTGGAAGCAATGCCCTAATTGATTGAACAAGATCACTGACAACGGCGTAAGGGATTGTTCTCCCTGATGATAAATGTGAGTGGCTCATTTTATGTCAGATACAAGTGTGCTGCGCTTAACGTTTGTCGCAATCAGCGCCATCTTGAAGATTCGTCGACCAACGGGCTCAAGGGTGTTCTGGTGACGGATTAGATATCTGATATAACATGCAATCGTTGCTGACCAAAGGCTCTCTCAAGCATGGTTGCTCGTTCGTTTGCTCGAGTATGTAGCGTGGCATTCGTTCACAAGAATACCCCAAGGACGGTAAGCAGTGGGCGAGACGATAAGTGACAGGTGTGGACAACGGCGCTGAAGCGCGATGAGATGGCGTCGCTGATTGGCCGTTACTCGATTAGCCGTTGCTCGCTGTGCTCGATGACGTCACTGTTTGACCGTTGCTCGACTAGCCGTTGCTCTTTGGGCTCGATGGCGTCGCTGACTGGCCGTTACTCGATTTGCCATTGCTTGTTGAGATCAATGACGTCACTCATTGGCCGTTTCTCGCATCGCGGCGATGTTTGGGATTGCCCCGTCCAGCGTTGGTCAATGTTTGGCACGTCGGACTACGACGCGGCTCCGACCAGGGGCGGAAGCCAGTGTTGTGTTCTGTAGCCTTTTTCAGCTGGATGTCGAGAAATGTTTCTGAAAAGTCGTAAGGCGTAGCAGCAGTCACCACGTGGATAAAATATAGAAAAAATAATAGCTTGCATACTTGCACCAAAACTGGAGATGAAACGACGGGAAAAAGATTCATTTCATTGAGGGATTGATACGCTAGCTTACGTTCAATGAAGGGATGTCGACGAATTTGCATTAACACTCAACTAGTGCAGTTCTTATATCCTTGACATTAGATATTTCACTGACCCTAACTTCTGTTGTTTTTGTTTTTTTTTTGTTGCAAACAGTGGACAACATTGACTTATTGCAACACTGATTTCTAAATGTGCCCCGTTCCCAAGGATGTAAGCAACCTGCTAATGCAAGAGAACAGATAGAAGCAGAAGCCCTGCAGAGCCCTAAAAGCCTAAAGGCACAACATCTTACACATATAATTGCGATGTCACTGGCATCTTTTGCTTGGCCCGTCACGACCGTTGTCACAGCGCACTTGTACCCTGGGAGGGATAGGGTATATCAGCATGTTTTACGACCCATCAGCCAACTTTTTGGAAGCCCTTTTTACCTACTTCAAAGCATTTTAGTCACACGCATGCTGCAAAATTCAGATCGACGAGGTCTTCATAACTGAGGTGGAGCCGTCATCTGGAAGCATGTAGGAGATCACCTCCTTGCCAAGAAGCTCTTCTGAATCAAGAGTTCCTGTTTTGAATCAGGTAGTCCCAGACCTGGATCAGAGATTTTGTTTTGTGTCTGGCTAGGGAGGCCAATTTATGCATCAGGAGCGCCTTGGTCTGAATTATGAGCCACCCTCCATACGCATCGAGAGGCTCTGTTCTGGAACAGGAGTCGGCTTCACGTAGCGTTTTGGTGGACGTTTGCGGGGCTGGCACGAACCGTGCTGCGAGACTATTTTTTGGTAATCCTGAGGTCTCAGAGTGACAGAAAAGGTCGTGTTGGCACTATTTGTAATGCAATAATTTGTATCGTTTATAATTTATTTAGTTTCGAGTGACTTACGCCAAGCAGAAGATGACCCGGCACAACAATGGACTCGTCCCTCTTAAACAAACGCCACCGGTGTGGATAAGACCGATCGAATATCTAGGTCGCTACTTGAAAACAAACTAAGGCCGCCAAAGTATATCCTTATTGGGCGCATGAAGGCGCACGCAGCTGATTTCAGAGCAGGCTCTGCCCATAGTTATCGAACGCCTGACCTCTCGGCAACCAATCACGTTTCGAATCACCTTTAAAAGCTCTGCTAGGTTCATGTTTTTATGTCTGTTCAACAAAAATGGCCGCTTCATAAGGTAACTAAAAATGTTAGCATCATTTATATGTGATCAATCATTGTGATATGCTCGAACTGTCTTCCAAAAAGCTGGAAAACTCAGCCGCTGCCTCCCTAATCAAAGTCCGTGGTGCCGTTCCTGCCTGATCACCTGCGTTCGTCCTAAAATTTTGCCTAAATATCACGCTTCAGCTTATGACTGAAAATGGATATTTTATACACATACTCAGAATCGCCTACGAAATAAAATGTAGCCTTTCATTGCGTTTGCTATTGGTTAAGACGCTAGTGATGTGCTTTGTCTTGGACTGTTTCCCACAGTGTTGGAATGTTACGTTGATGCCTCACGGTGCTCGGGGCTGCTAAGCTATGCAGAGAGACTTTGCATCTTTGCCTTTACATTTTAAGCAGTGATAACTGCTCTGCTGAAGTTTTTTGTTGTGAGGAGCATGGAACTGAATGTTTCTGCTGCCTTTGCCATGACATGTGCCGTACATGGGTGTATCAGTGCCCTGGTGCGGTGGTTTTCCCTTTGTAACCGGTGGAAAATACTACATGTTTGCGAGGTAAAACTCACGAATTCACGACCCGGAATTTTTGCGACGCAAAAAAGAACCAGGCATGAAGTGTCATTTTACATCCCAAAGCGGTGTTTTCAGAGCAGAGACAGATCCAGTTGGGGAGATAAGGTATAAGGACGCGCCCTGACCTGCAAGAGACTTATTTATGTCATGTAGAATTGCGCTATTGGCTTTGCACAATTCCCACAATTTTCTGATATTTAAGGGTCAATCCGTTCTTTCCGTGACGGAAGTCTAGGACAATCGCAGCCCGGTTGATTTATGTCTGCGGCGTCTCATAGCTCAGTTTTGCATTATCGTGTTGGTGTTCATAAAGCAAATCCCTCACATTGCCCATCAACTTGGTGTCGCCTGCCGCGCCATTGACCCTGGCCCTCGCCCGGGTGTCCGCCTCGCTCACCTCAGTCCCGGTCGGCAGGACCTGAGCTACAAGGAGAAACACTGGCACGAGGCATGCTTCCTGTGCAACAAGTGTCGCATGTCGCTGGTGGACAAGCAGTTCGGCTCGAAGGCCGAGAACATCTACTGCGGCCCGTGCTACGACGCCCAGTTCGCCACCCGCTGCGATGGCTGCGGGGAGATCTTCAGGGCCGGTGAGTGGCGCCCGGCGAGCCCGGCTGCGCGCAGCTGTCTGAATCTGCGTGCACCAGATGCGGGGCTGTCTGAGTCTTTGTGCGCCAGATGCGGGGCTGTCTGAGTCTGTGTGCACCAGATGCGGGGCTGTCTGAGTCTTGTGTGCACCAGATGCGGGGCTGTCTGAGTCTGTGTGCGCCAGATGCGGGGCTGTCTGAGTCTGTGTACACCAGATGCAGGGCTGTCTGAATCTGCGTGCACCAGACGCGGGGCTGTCTGAGTCTGCGTGCGCCAGATGCGGGGCTGTCTGAGTTTGCGTGCACCAGATGTGGGGCTGTCTGAATCTGCGTGCGCCAGATGCGGGGCTATCTGAATCTGCGTGCACCAGACGCGGGGCCGTCTGAGTCTGCGTGCGCCAGATGCGGGGCTGTCTGAGTCTGTTTGCACCAGATGCGGGGTTGTCTGAGTCTGCGTGCGCCAGACTGGCAGGCTGGCTGGCTGGCTGGCTGGCTGACTGGCTGGCTGGCTGGCTGGCTGTCTGGCTATGTGAACCGGACGCGGGTTGGCTTTCTGCAGTGTCCGCTCAGCTGAGCTCTCCGCCAGAGACGCGCGCTGTCTGCGGGCAGTTAAGTGTCCTGGCAGAGGCAATGGTTGTCTGTGGGGGGCGGATCGGTCGAGTCGTCCGCCAGAGACCGGCTGTCTGCGGGCGGATGAGTTTTCCGACTCAGACACTGGCTGTCTGTTGCGGCAGCCCCAGCGTGTCTGTTCATCGGAAAGATTGCCTGCGGGCAGCGGCATTCCCTAACACAGACACTGGCTGTCTACAGGGGCAAGACGAGTTGAGCTGCCTGCTGGAGATGGGTCTCCTGACACTGACTCTGCCCGTTTGTGGTGGCATACTCGCCCGGAAAGTTTGCTGGCTGATTGCCGGTGCGGCCAGAATGGATGTATCTTCCCGCGTGCAACAATGACTGCGTTCATCTGCCCAAATTGGTTGCCAGGAACAATTTGCTTCTTAATCGGCTCTCTCATGATGGGGGAAAACATGCCGTTGCGCGTTGTCTGCTCGTGCTTCCAGCCATGTAAGCTGCCTGTCGCTCTCCAGTCATAAGTCGTCCCATGATATAGCTTAAATGGAGTCACGCGTCGCATTCGGTTTACCCGCTACATACTGCGCGGGTTTGTGGTACGAAGTCGCCTCTCGTTGCTCATGCGTCCTCATACGGCGGCTTGCGACGCGTAAGCAAGTTATCTGATCGCTACCATATATGCACATGTGGTGCACATGATGTCCCTTTCTGCGGTCGCGCGCGTATCTCTGTGTGAGCGCCAACTAGTGTTTGTTGGCCCAGATACGACGCACATATTCCGTTGTTGCGTGACACCCGTGGACGCCAGTCAGACGTCTCATCGCTACAGCCGGCCCGCTGAAGCTAAATCTAGACGCGTCCTGATCCGCTGAGCACGTCTTTCACGTGCTTCTGAGCTGGTTTTGCGTCAGGCATATGTCGCCAGCTCGCTGATCGCAGGGATGTGTCGCCAGCTCGCTGATCGCGGGGATGTGTCGCCAGCTCGCTGATCGCAGGCATGTGCCGCCAGCCCGCTGATCGCAGGGATGTGCCGCCAGCTCGCTGAACGCAGGGATGTGTCGCCGGTGATGCGGCACATCCCTGGCGGCATGTGTCGCCAGCTCGCTGATCGCGGGGATGTGTCGCCAGCTCGCTGATCGCAGGGATGTGCCGCCAGCTCGCTGATCGCAGGGATGTGCCGCCAGTGATGCGGCACATCCCTGGCGGCATGTGTCGCCAGCTCGCTGATCGCGGGGATGTGTCGCCAGCTCGCTGATCGCAGGGATGTGCCGCCAGCTCGCTGATCGCAGGGATGTGCCGCCAGTGATGTGGCACATCCCTGGCGGCATGCGCCGCACTCTGTCGGCTCCGGTTATCCCGGCCGAGTATGTGAAGCCTCAGCACGGTCCGGACACGTTACGCCAGTGTCTCGGCGACCCATCCGGAGCGGTGACGCGCGGCGACCGAGCCTGCCGAGCCAGCATCGCCGCAGGAATGAGGCCGCCAGAGCGCGGCGTCAGCCGTCGGCGCAGTGCGCCCGGCCCGCGGGACATGATGGCCTCCCGCCGTGAGTTTGACCCGCCGCAGGAATGAGGCCGCCAGAGCGCGGCGTCAGCCGTCAGCGCAGTGCGCCCGGCCTGCGGGACATGATGGCCTCCCGCCGTGAGTTTGACCATCGCCGCGGGAATGAGGCCGCCAGAGCGCGGCGTCAGCCGTCAGCGCAGTGCGCCCGGCCCGCGGGACATGATGGCCTCCCGCCGTGAGTTTGACCTTAGTGGTGAACGCGGACCTTTTCAGTTTAAGCAAGCGTTTCAAGTGGGACTGAGGATCTGAAAGCGAAGGGATGCGCGTCTGCCCTGAAATGTGTGATGCGGGATCGTACGAACCTTGAGAGGTTTGGGTCATCGCAGTATAGGTGGCGCCGTCGCTATAGGCAGCACTGTCGGCTGGCGACGCTTGGTTGCGCAGGTGGCGCTGACAGTCTCGTGATTGAAAGGCAAGCACACATTTGGATAATGTGCTTGGTTAGCTCCACCACCAACAGGGACAAGCCACGGCATCTATGGATAGCAACGATAAAATACTTGGGGATTTTATCTGATTCCCTGTTGACACCAGTCTTCAGGGCTTACAGCGCGGGCATTGTCTTGCAAAGACGTTTGTCCTGCATCGAGCTGGCACGCACCTAGGTTGCGTGCCAGCTTTCTGCTCTCGCACGGGGGGAGGAGCGGACGTTTCGTCTCGCGAGGCCCGCCTGTGTCAGTCCTCCCGCCGTAGTTTGTGTAGCTTGAGCCGTGGATGATAGAGCTATGACGTGTTTCCGCGCGGTGAACGCTGACTTTGGCCTCCGCCGCGGCTGCAGCCTCCTCTGTTATGGCTTCTCGTCGGCTGCCAGCGCTTCATCCACGTCTTCGCTGACCCAGTTCCCTCGTCCGCCGTCGTTGGCCGGTGGTAGCTCCGCCGCTCAGTCTCCATGACGCACGAGTTCATTAGGCGGTGAACGCTTGCCCTGTGGCCTCATCTCGAGGGCGGGCCGCCAGCTGGCCGCAGGACGGCGTTCCCAACATTGCGCGATGTGGGACCCAGCGGCATCGGCGGCGGCGGCGGCGGCGGCGGCGGCGGCGGCGGCGGCGGCGGCGGTGGCGGCGGCGGCCTGCGTCGTCGCCGTCTGGCCCTCTGTTGATCGTCGCCGTAAACATTGACGCCGTTTTCGCGGCAGAGCTCGCCTCTGGGTGGGCCCGGGGCGCCGGTGTGTCGCAGTTAGCCCGGGGGCCGACGCCCAGGTGCACGGCGCTGCGATCTCTGGCCAGAGCCCGCACAGCCGCAGGCAATCGAGCCGCCCCGACGCCCCGCTCGGCGGCCGCGGGACCTGCTGTTGGCTAAGCTGAGGTGGTCGCTTTGTGGCGGCGGAAGTGATCACGTCAGGGGCTGGCCGCTGTGTCACCTTGGTCGTCATCAGCAACGGCATATGGAGGAGCTCGGACCCGACGAGGGTGAGCAGGACCTGTGTGTCGCGGCTGGGACGCTTGGTTTGCTGATATGCGAACCTACCAACGTGAACGCGGCGTTTTAGCTTTGGGGTTGTTCAGCGGTCTTGGGGATATTTTAGCTCAGTTTATTTTGTTAAGACTCACCGTAGTTAATTCATCTTCGTGTCCTGAATGCACTGCACAGACTGCTAGCCACTGAACCAAACGCGCTCTGCCATCTTTGGGCTATGGCAACTACGTGGATTGTATAGATGGCGCTAGCGAAGCATGGTAGATATCGGTATAGGTTGTTAGAGACGCTACTAGGAAACGACGATGTCGTAATGCCAGGACCAAGTATGGCGCGGCTCCATAAACCACTGGAGGAACGCCCATGTTCGCCATTCGCTGCGCCTCCGTGGCTGAGCAGGTACATTCCATCTGGTGCGATCACCGGCTCGGCTCGCATGCCTCACGTCGGAGATCAGCACTCTTCAAAAACGTTCGCTAGCAGTATTGTATTTCCATGCACGTGGCATTCGAAGGTGGCCCGGGAATGCGCGTTTAAAATGTGTTGGATATACACTGGGGTAGGCCATCGCCCACGTTAATGACAGCCGGAGGTCAAGGACTCACCTCCTGAGCGCGTTCGTAAATCGGACGCTAATGACAGCCGGAGGTCAAGGACTCACCTCCTGAGCGCGTTCGTAAATCGGACGTTAATGACAGCCGGAGGTCAAGGACTCACCTCCTGAGCGCGTTCGTAAATCGGACGTTAATGACAACCGGAGGTCAAGGACTCACCTCCTGAGCGCGTTCGTAAATCGGACGTTAATGACAGCCGGAGGTCAAGGACTCACCTCCTGAGCGCGTTCGTAAATCGGACGTTAATGACAGCCGGAGGTCAAGGACTCACCTCCTGAGCGCGTTCGTAAATCGGACGTTAATGACAGCCGGAGGTCAAGGACTCACCTCCTGAGCGCGTTCGTAAATCGGACGTTAATGACAGCCGGAGGTCAAGGACTCACCTCCTGAGCGCGTTCGTAAGTCGGACGTTAATGACAGCCGGAGGTCAAGGACTCACCTCCTGAGCGCGTTCGTAAATCGGACGTTAATGACAGCCGGAGGTCAAGGACTCACCTCCTGAGCGCGTTCGTAAATCGGACGTTAATGACAGCCGGAGGTCAAGGACTCACCTCCTGAGCGCGTTCGTAAATCGGACGTTAATGACAACCGGAGGTCAAGGACTCACCTCCTGAGCGCGTTCGTAAATCGGACGTTAATGACAGCCGGAGGTCAAGGACTCACCTCCTGAGCGCGTTCGTAAATCGGACGTTAATGACAGCCGGAGGTCAAGGACTCACCTCCTGAGCGCGTTCGTAAATCGGACGTTAATGACAGCCGGAGGTCAAGGACTCACCTCCTGAGCGCGTTCGTAAATCGGACGTTAATGACAGCCGGAGGTCAAGGACTCACCTCCTG